TTTTGGCTGGTTGCCGCAGTCCGCTGCCGTTCAACAGCTACAGTTTCCGAGAAGACCATTCCGAGATGCACCGATCAGCAGGTCAGGGGAATCTTGAGCTGACATAGCCTGACCCCCTGAGGGGCATCAACCAAAATGCTCCAGCAGTATGTCGGAGTAGGCAGACGGTGCGTGCCGTTGAAGGCAAGGCTGCACAAGTACGTACAGATACGTATAGATAATTGATCATCTATTATGCGCAGCCGAGATATCAGAACAGTCAGGTTTGAACAGGCTTGAACAGCATATGTTTGCCAGATGACGCGTCGGCCCCAGGCACCAACATCGAGCATCTGTTCTACGCCCTAGAGCTCTGTGTGACCAGCGTTCTGGTCCGAGCCCCGTTGTGCTGAAGGGCAGAGGGCTTCAGAAAAAAGCCACACAAAACCCGCAGCAGCGAACAGGAGCCTCTGCCTTCTACTGTAGGCATGCAGATGCTCGCGAGATACCCTGCAATTCAGGAAGCGCAGGGCTGTCACTGGCCATGCCCATGCTAGCAATTTGTGCACGTTAGAGCCTCTTACTGTCACAATGCTTGGTCGCTGGCGTAGGTAAATGGTTCTGGTCTTTGGACTGCTTTAGCGTCATTTGCTTGCAAATCGCCACAGACTCGTTCTTGCCAGAGGTCACCAACATCTTCCAGTTCGGATGGTGGAGGTGTAAGCAGCGCACTGGCGAGCTGACCCACTGGCAGAGGCAGGCTGTTGCTCATCGGAAGCCAGATTCTGTGCACCAACCGGGGGCTAACCCAAACGTTGCAATGATGTGTGCAGGTGGGATGCTGCTTACTACCTTGGCGCCGCCATCCCCATGAACTTGGGAATGCCTCTAGCAGTTGTCCTCATCTACATCGGTGAATGGGGCTGCTTCGTTTCAAATCATGTGTGATGTCATGTGAGCAAGCTTTGCCTTGCTGCCATACGTACCGCGACCACGAACATAGCAGGTGAGAGCAGCATATAGCAACTTGTAGCGGCCGCATCACGCGTCAGGCTATCCGGGGTCCAAGATGTGGCATTCTAGCAGCTGGATGCCCAACACAGTCCATGGCATCACGCTCTACGTCTTCAAGTGGCCTCTTGGTCATAAGCAAATGCTTTTGGATAGGAGCACTAAGACAGCACAGTAGCCCATCCTTTGCTCATATAGGCCATGGGCCATGACTATCGTGACTCAGATATGGAAATCCATCAGGATTGGCGTGATTTTCCTGACCATCGGGGTCTTGAAGGCGACACAGCTTCACACCAAGATCCAAAAGAAGCCCCTCCGCTGCAGCTCTGTAACCTGGGCCCGATCTCGGAAAACAGACTGCGCTCCTAAGACCCAGTGTAGCAACAGTGATCGGAAGGACCTTGTACATTGACTTTTCTCCAAAAAAGCACAATTTCCCAACTTTGCAAGCCGCACTCAGCATTCCAGTCATTGTTCCGGGGATGCAAAGTAAGAACTGCAACCGGCCAGTTTCAAGTTCCAAGGTAGCCTTTCGTAGCTTCATGTAGGTCCACACCGCCTTCGCATCACCTTAGAAAGCAAGTGCTACTCGTAGCGCTTTGTCCACGGCATTCCCTGGAATTCCCAAGTTTTCAATTTCAGGTGGAGGAAGCTCAGGGGCAAGGGGCAACCACAGGCTCGGGCTGTTGTGGAAATCCAGATCTTGCAATGAAAGGACATTGAGCTGTTCCAGAATGTTCCAGATCTGCGGCACTCCTATTGCAATTTGAACGCCCTTGTGAGCAGGGTTCGCATAAAGGGAGCTCTGTGCTTGGGATTGGCAAAGTCCTGCACAAATGCATAAAGTGCCTGGAAGGTTGCTCCGCCTGTGTAGAGAGAGGCAGCATCGCAAGTGCCTTCGCTTCGATTTCAGAGTTGCCGTTTTGGTTTTCAGCTTAAAGGCTTGTAGGGAGATGTTCGAGGCTGCGGATTGCTTCGGCTTCTCAATGGTAGCCTCTTCAACCAGCTGTAGCACAAGGGCTCACAGCCAGAAGCCCTGGATCCCTGACGCCCCAAGCCGAACATACATATACATATACACACACTTCCTTGCATACGTCCTTACCCTTTCCTGCCCTGAAAACAAACCTGGAGCTGAGCCGAAGTCAGGCAAAAAGGGCTTTGTCGGGTTGCACAAGCCTGTTCGTGGGTGATGACGCCTCTGAACATGGATGAATCTCAGTATTGGCCAAAGCACGCTGCAAAGACGGGATATTGACAAGAGACAGCAAAAGAACATGCTGTTGAGAGGCATCCATGTAGGATTTGTACAGATGTGAAAGAAATTCAAACACTGTGCAGATTTTGTCGGCTTCGAACAAGTCTGCACATGTAGCAAGGAAGCAATCGCTACCGGAGACCAGGTAAGCAGGGCTGGATAACCAGCTGACCTGCTGCCACAGTTTTCAGCCCGCAGCTTTGCTAAGCGCAAGACCGTTTGCCTAGCTTTCCACACCTGATTTGGCAGAAGATCGCAGAAGGCTGTGATGAACTTCGTGTTTCCGAAACCTGCCGCTGCTTAGCGTCGTTGCAGAGGAGGCAGCTTTGTGAACTGGAGGTCTTCTGAGAGCCACCTGGAGCCCTTCACAGAATGTGGTTCCGGGTGCCTTCAGGCACAGACAACCAGTGAGAATGGCTGTTGCTTTTGCTGTGATGCCTTGGCAGCAGGCGTGAGGATACAAACAAAGCTTGCAAACGGCTTGAGGCTGACCATTTTGTCTTGCCCAGTCAGTGCTTGGCCACATGCGGTGGCAGCAGTGCCGGGCGCAAGGAGGAATCCTGGCTCCGAAAAGAGAGGCAGTGCACAAACGGCTTGTCCGGCTGAGCTGTTTCCTTCTTGCGGTACATCTTGGGTTGTTGCATGCTGTTGTTGCACTACGCAAGCTGGGCGTTTCGCTTGATTGAGGGCTCGAGTTGAAGTCACGGAAGAAGTCGCGGCCTGCTTCTGCAAATGGCGGAGAAAACGATCGTGATAGGCCAGGCACACATCTGTCCTGTGCGGCGGCGTGTAGACACGCGCTTGGTGACGGGTGCCAGCCAACTCGCTGAACCCTCGTGCACAAACAGGGCTACCTGCAGTATGCACTGCAGATCACTGAAGCAGAATTCCGCATAACCTGACTTGGCTCAGATTTCTGTAATGAACTGCGCTTCTGGAAGCTTGTTGCCTTTGTCACACGCATCCCGGCAGGCTGCGCCACAGGCGACTGAGGAGAGGAGCCGCCTAAGAGCGGCCCAGCTGAAACGCCCGACGAGGCGGCGGAGAAGCGAGGAGCCTGCGCAGCGGTCTGCTCGCCCCCTCTCTGCACTTCTCAATCTCTTCAACTCCTGAAGCCGTGAAGGGGTTGAAAAATAGGAGACCCTGAATTTAAGGCCCCTGAAACCAGAACACCTAGAGTCTGAAGAAGGACCGCCTAACTGTAAGACAGACTGTAACAGAAAGAGAATTGAAGACCTTAACTTTTTAAACAACCGGTGCCCGCGACCAATGTGATCATTGCGATATCAGCTTGTTCGCCTTCGATTTGAGCCTTCTGGCGAAGCGATGCACTCTGCATGAGCCGTTGTCCCCAGAG